CACTGTTTAGGCGCGTGGTGGGCGAGCACCGTGCCCAAGCGCCGTGGCCACGCGCGGTGGGCGAGCACCATGCCTGGGTGGCCATGCCCAAGCTCCGTGGGCGAGCACCGTGCCCGAGCACCATGGCCAAGCTCGTGGCCACACATGGTGGGCAAGCACCGTGCCTGAGCGCCGTGGCCACTCACGTGACCGGGCACCGCACCCAAGCACCGTGGCCGTGTATGGTGGGCGAGCACCATGCCCGTGCACCGTGGCCAAGCACTGTGGGGGTGCACGGTGGGCGAGCACCGTGCCCAAACTCTGTGGCCAAGCCCCGTGTCCACGCACGGTGAGCAAGCGCCGTGCCCTCGCCCCGTGTCTGTGGAGCACGCCCAAGCACCGTGTCCAAGCACCACGTCTGCGGACCGTGCCCTCGCACTGTGCCCTCGCACCCTCTCTGTGCCCGGGGACCCTGTTCAAGCACCGTGGCTGTGTGCCGTGTCGGAGCACCATGGTCACGCACGGTGCTGGAGCACCGTGGCCATGCACAGCACCTGAGCACCGTATCCACACGCCGTGCCCTTGCACTGTGCCTGTGCACCACGTGTGCACAGCACCCCTGGGCGCCGGGCTGAGCACCCTGCCCCAGCACCTTGTCCGAGCACCGTGTCCAAGCACCACGTCTGCACACCCTGGCTGAGCACCAAGTCCACACACCGTGTCCAAGCACCGCGGCCGAGCGCCATGTTCACGCATCGTGGCTGAGCACCGTGTCCACGCACCACGTCCAAGCACCACAGCAGAGCACCGTGCCCGAGCACCACGTCCAAGCACCGCGACTGAGCACCGTGGCCAATCACCATGGTCACACGCCACGTCTGAGCACCAGGTCCACAACGTGTGGCTGAGCACCGTGCCCAAACACCATGTCCATGCACCGTGGCCAATCACCATGTTCACACGCCACGTCTGAGCACCGCGTCCGTGATGTGTGGCCCTAGCACCATGTCCACGCCACCACGTCCAAGCACCACGGCAGAGCACTGGGCCTGAGCACCATGTTCGCACACCCTGGTCGGGCACCGTGTCCACACACCACATCCAAGCACCACGTCCACGATGTGTGACCAAGCACCACGTCCATGCACCATGTCCAAGCACCGTGGTCAAGCACCATGTTCACACACCACACCCGAGCACCACGGCCACGATGTGTGGCCAAGCACCGTGCCCAAACACTACGGCCATGCACCATGTCCAAGCACCACAGCAGAGCACCATGCCCAAGCACCGTGCCCACGCACCACGTCCAAGCACCACGGTCAAGCACCATGTTCACACACCATGTCAGAGCACCATGTCCACGATGTGTGGCCGAGCACCGTGCACGAGCACCGTGTCCACGCACCACGTCCAAGCACCACAGTCGAGCACCATGTTCACACACCACGTCCGAGCACCAAGTCCACGATGTGTGGCCGAGCACCGTGCCCAAACACCACGGCCGTGCACCACGTCCAAGCACCACAGCAGAGCTCCGTGCCCGAGCACCACGTCCACACACCATGTCCGAGCACCGTGGTTGAGCACCGTGGCCAACCACCATGGCCATGATGCATGGCCAAGCACCGTGTCCACGCACCACATCCAGACACCCTGGCCGAGCACCGTGCCCGAGCACCATGGCCATGACGCGTGGCCGAGCACCATGCCCGAGCACCATGGCCACGCACCATGTCCAAGCACCGCGGTCGAGCACTGTGGCCAGTCACCGTGTTCACACATCACATCCAAGCACCACGTCCACGATGTGGGGCTGAGCTCTGCGGCCACGCACCACGGCCACGCACCACGGCCACGCACCGCGCCTGAGCAACGTGGCCAAGCACCACGTCCACACGCCCTGGGTGAGCACCGTGTCCACGCACCACATCTGAGCACCGTGTCCACGACATGCAGCCGAGCACCGTGCCCCAGCACCGCAACCGAGCACCTCGTCCAAGCACCACACCCGCACACGGCTCTCCTGCCGGCACCCCGGCCCCGCACCAGAGGGGAACGGCTCCACCGCGAGCCCGGTCGGCGGGACGCTGCCGACGCCGCACCCATTTCAGTTTGCATAAACCCAACCGTCTCCCGGCACGCTTCGAGCTGTCGCTCCGGAAAAGTAAACTTCCTTCTCAACGACATTGCTTTGCTTTTTTTTTTTTGTTTGTTTTTTGTTTTTTGTTTTTCTTGGTTCCCTAGTTTCATATATACATTAGTAGCACCTCAGCGAGATGGAATCAGGCAGAAGCGTGATACAGTTTGTTAAAACACCATAGCACCGTTTTTATTAGAAGATTTCATTTAATAAAAATATGCCTTATAGAGCCCACTAAGCATACTCCAGTATTAAAAGGAAAAATCAGCAATTGAGGCACCTCAGGGATTCTGGTTTCCTTCTCCTTCCCGTGCCTCGTCCCGAGAGCATCGAGATGGGGCGGGGGGAACCCCGAAATGTGTCCCCCGTTCCCCACCCGAGGCGAAGCATCGCGGCTGGAAAAGCCAAAGCGGGGTGGCAGGAGCCCGTCGGGGCTCCCTGTGCCAAGCTCTCCCCAGGGTTTCTACCGCGGGCGTTGTTCTAGCACCATTGTGGCCATGACCTGCTGCAAGATTAGGTTCCCATCCCACCCCGAAGCAATTAAAAACATCCCCCCGCCCCAGCAAGTCCCCCTTTACGCCGCGACCCCTCCTGGCTTCGGCACGGGCGGGATGAGCGCGGCCGCCGGGACAGGTAAAGGAAAAGATTTTGCTTGAAAAAAACAGCCTCTCAGCAGCAAGGGGTAAAGAGCTGTGCATAGATTTCGAGTTTTCGTAGAAGTCTGAAGCGTGCTAATTTTTAATGACTGAGATTTGAGGTAGGTTAGACGTTATGTAGTGTAAAAACGTGAGACTGCAGCAGTTCTCGCTCCCCGACCCGCAGCGCCGGCATCTCCCCGCTTACCCGGGTTGAACCCGCCGGAGCCAACGCCGCGCCGGATCGAACCCCCTCCCTGCACCGAAAAAAAAAAACAAAACCAAAAAACCTCCGAGGAAGCAGGACTTAGACAGGTTACACGGACCCTCGCCTTCTCCGAACGCACCCTTTTGTTCCTCCTGACTCTACACCCACCCAGGCGAAGCTCGCAAGGCACCCCCGCCACGACAGTCAGACGAGACCCCGGGCGATGCAAACCGGGGCCGGCACCCGAATCCGGCCCCGCCGAGCGCCGCTGGCGGGGAGCAGCCGGGTCCCCTTTTCGCCCTCCGAACCGCATCGACACGTCGGGTCCCCGCGCTGGAACCGGCATCGCCCGCAGGCATCCCGCAAATCTGACTTGCCATCGACTCTTACAATCCTGATATGCTATTGGGTATTTATAAGAAAAGCGGTAATAGCTCGTTGAGTTTCCTTGTCAAATATACGCGACTTTACAGATTACGGCTAAAAAAAAAAAAAAAAAAAAAAAAAAAAAAAAAAAAAAA